GGATGTTGTTCAGTAGTAGAATGCCTCTGGGTTCAATCCCCAATACCGGAAAAAAATGTGGGAGGGATGGAGTGACAATAGAGAATCAGCAGACTCTTAAAACTTAATCTTATAAATCAGTGATTCAGTATGGGTGGGAAGAGTCATTTCCTTGTGAAAATCATGTTGTAATGAAATAAATCCTTCAGTGTGTTTAGTAGAAAATTGAAAAAGGCTGCCATGGCTGAGAGGGAAGCCTTCGCATTTTAGCAGGATTGTGACCTGGTTGGATCTTCATGTTAGATCATTGGTAGCTGTGTTGAGATTGGTTGGAGGGGAGCAGCTACATGGCTAAGGATAGTGGGCTTGGAGGCTGTTAAACAGGTGAGACCTGTGGAGGGCCTCAACTAAGGCAGAGGTAATAGGGATGGGATGAAGACAGATTTCAAAAATTCCCCAGAATGAGAGGATGGGTTTGGTGACTGGTAGATGTGTGGAATGAGGAAAAATGCAAAAATTAAGGATAGTTCCTGACGTTAAAGCTTCAGTGATTGAGTGGATTCTGTATCAACAACTGAGATGCAGAATTCCTAGGTAGAGCCAGTTTGCTGCAGAAGATGAGAAGCGGTTAGAGCATGTTGAATTTTATGTGCTATGAGACAGCATAGAGGTGGAACTTTTTTCAAGTAGATCATTGAGACAAAGTACAGGAAAAAAGTCTAGGCTTGGGACAAATTTAAGAATCATTATACGGGTGATGGCTAAAACAAGGAAGGTAGATTGAAATAGCTCAAAGAATGTCACTCTAGCTATTCCTTTACCTGATACAGAGATGCCAGTGTTCTGCTGTGACTGGATTACAAGGATGCCAAACTATTTGATCTCAAGCTTCTTAGCCCTTGTGATGAGACTGTTGGGAGCTCGCTCCTCTGTTTCTGTGGCGTGTACTACAGATCCCAACCCAAGCCAAGGAGAGCTTGATTGTTAGTATCAAGTGCAGAGGGACAGGAGGCTGAGGCAATAGGATCACAAATTCAAGGTCAACCTTGGCAACTTAGTGAGTCTCTGTCTCAAAAAAATAAAAAGAAGTGGGGATGTAGCTCTTTGGTAGAGAGCTTCTGGGTTCAATTCCTAGTATGGCCCAAACACACACACACAAAATGCAGAAAAGAAGTGGCAAAAATTAATTATATCCTGCTCKTTTTCTGTGGGGTATATAAATTGCTAAAAGTTAGGACATAAAACTAGACAGGAAGCATAGAGTTTTTAAAAGTGTTTATTCTGGAGCCACTCTCCCCATGTTTATAATCCTTAATCTGTTCCTTACTAATTTAGTGCCTTAACCTTTTTATGCACATCTGTAAAATGACAAGGAATAATAACAGTACTTGTCTCAAAGAGTTGTTGTGATAATTAAATGAATCAGTACCTGTAGAGCACTTGTAGAATATTTGTATAGTGCTGTGTCTAGCACTTGCAAAGTACCTTTAAGCTATTGTTAACATTGTTAGTTGCTATAATGATGATGCTTTCATTCATCTCAATTCTGAGTACATCACTCATGGTGACAGTGGATTTATTACCTTAATTTGTTTGATATTTCTATCATGAAACAAATGAATGTTATAGAACCGATRCTAGGTATACCTATTTAGGTGATTACCAGGATGAATCCTAACATTTAACATTTGAATCTGTTTGATTATAGAGCAAAAAATATTATCATTACAGTGGATACAAATGAGAAACCATYGTGTTTCATTTTAATTTTTTTTGTACTAGGAATTGAACCCAAGGGTGCTCTACCATTGAGCTACATCCCTTGTCCTTTTTATGTTTTATTTTGAGACAGAGTCTTGCAAAGTTGCCCAGACTGTCCTTGAACCCATGCTCCTCCTGACTCAGCCTCTCAAGTTGCTGGGATTACATATGTATATCACCATGATCATCTTTCTATCTTGTTTCATTTTAAAGACAGGGAGCAGATAAAAATGCTCTTGGGTTTATGGGAGAGTATTGAAATGGAAAATATTTTTGTTAATGTGGCTGGGAAGGCATTCAACTATGAATACTCACGTGCTGTTTAATAGCAGCTGCATCAGCCACTGTCCATCTGTGCTTTTTCTTGAGTATTTGATTGATGGCAAGGATGTCATCTGAATAGTTTGAAGAAATGTTCACAGGCTTTATGYTTGCTGCCTTTATGTACATTTAAAAAAGAAGATTAGTAATACATTTTAGTTTGAATTATACATACATAAATATATAATAAACAAAAATATATTTCAGTATGAGAGAATTTGCATATGATTTATAAGGTTATTGTTAAACTATTTGTCAGTTGTGTTGGAGCCCCTAGAATAGTGCCAAATGTAAATTGGATATTTAGTAAAGGTTCTTTAATAATGACAAAACCTATTCATAAGAGAAATACAGATCAGATGGCTTATTGACTAGATATGGAGAATAAAGARGAGCCAACTCCATCTTGAGCCAAACGTCCCAAGCTATTACAAGCACCCAAAATGAAGGTACCCTCCACAGAGTACCACCTCTATTACTTCCAGACTTCTGACAGGCAAYCCATGGCTATTTCCCCTGTACTGTGCTATTGAACAATTGCTAGTGAAAATTACATATACTGCTTGCTCTTTTTGAAAATGTCTTGTCATGTAGTCCTGTCCAGGCCTTTAGTACTGCTTGACATTCTCTTTCTTCATCCACTCTTATCATAGTGGCTGCTGGAAGCCAGATCTTCAAACTTTCTCAACTGATGATTTTGGCTCTTTTTCTGTTTGTTTATGGTATTGGAGATTAAACCCAGGGCTTTGCATGTGCTAGGMAACTGCTCTACCATTGAGCTACATCCCCAGCCATTTTTATTTTTAATTTGGTGGTASAGTCTTACTAAATTGCTCAGGCTGSCCTCAAACTTGTGATCCTCAGCCTCCTGAGTAGCCAGAATTAATTGTATGCCAACATGCCTGGCTGATCTTGTCTCTTTAAAGCTATCTAACATRAATTCTCTTAACTCTTCTGCCTACCCTATGATTTCTCCATCCTTTAACTATTTTTTCATCTTTTCCTTTTATATGAGAATGTTTTTCCTGATTTCCTAGGGCAAACTCAATCCTGTATTCTCTATTTGTTCCTTCCTGGGTTTTTTTTTTT